ATGTTCCGCTTCTCAGCAGCCTGGGGCTCACCGGTTCAGATGCAGGGTGCGGACATGGCACCACTTGGCCAGCCATGCAGAGGTGGCGTCCCACATATAAACTAGAGGAAGATGGGCACAGATGTTAGCTCAGGGCCAGTCGTCCTCAGCAAAAAGAGGAAGATTGGTGACAGATGTTAGCTCAGGGCTAATCTTCCTCAAAAAAAAAAAAAAAAGTTTCTTGACCACATATGACATGAAGCAAGCTACATAGAGATGTGGAACTCCCAACACATGGTCCGTAACTCTGAGGTGCTCACAACGCAGCTGGGGAGAGACCACGACTACTTCGTGCTGGTCACTATGCGGGACTCTTTACCAGGAGTCTCTCAGTATTAATCTCTAAAATAAAGCCACAAATTACATATTACCATCCCCATTTCACAAATGCGGGAATAGATTCACAGCAGTTAAGTAATTTGATCGGGGTCACAAAATACTAAGTGCCAAAGTTAGAATTTGAAACTAAGCCTACCGCCAAGGCACATACCCGCTGGACTTTCCCCTGTTCCAGGGGTTCTCACTGAGAAGGAATTTCGCCTCCTTGGGGACATGTGACAAGTTCAGAGACGTTTTTAATTGTCCTATGGGGGGGCGGTGACTGATACAGGCCACCTAGTGGAAAGAGGCCAGGGATGCTGCTAAACATCCTACAATGCACAGCACAGGCCCCTACAGTGAAGAGGAACCAGCCTCAAAGGCCACCAGTTCAGGGTTGAGAAGCTTCGGCCCCCACTGTGTGACCCTGCAGTCTTCAGGAAGGACCAGATGCAGGCTGCGGGCACCAAGGAGGGAAGGAACACCACTCTGAACGGGGAAGCACCGGAAGCCTCTGCCACACAGGTGGGATTTTGGCTGAATCTTTAAAAGCACGGGTAGAAAAGAAAGGATGGTATTTTCAGCATCTAGGACAAAAGAAATGATCAGACGTGAAGCTAAAAATGGCAAGGCATGGATTTTCTCTAAAATACCTACAAAATGAAACTAGTAAAGGGGCTGGCCCCCGTGGCCTAGTGGTTAAGTTTGGCACGCTCTGCTTTGGTGGCCTAGGTTTGGTTCCCAGGCACAGACCTACACCATTCATTGGCAGCCATGCTGTGGCAGCGTCCCACATACAAAATAGAGGAAGACTGGCAAAGATGTCAGCTCAGGGTGAATCTTCCCCAAGCAAAAAATTAAAAACTAAAAACGAAACTAGTAAAAATTTATGAATAAAAATTTTGGTAAATCAGCATGTATTTATAAATGCTTGGGACGTTAGTGAATATTCATAAGAAAATGGTTGATTCCAGGAGGGAAACTGGGTACGAGAAGGACACACATTTTAGAATATTTAGGCATATTACCTATTTAAAAGATTAATTAATGGGGAAAATTTACCTGCCAGGTAACAGGAGCTGACTGAGGGTTCGTAAGGGGAAATGTGCACTGACCTCAGATGGCAGAGGACCCTCACCAGGGTCACAGGAGGACGAGCGGTCCAGCTTTACTGGACAGGCCGAGTGCAATTTCAAAGGCAGGACGGGCTGCTTGGCAAAATGGTAAAGGTGTGAGCTCCGAAGCCTGATGATCTGGGTTTGAATTCCTGCTCCACCACTTACTAATTTTTAAGTTACTTCCTGATGAGGGGCAAGTTACTGAAGCTCTTTGTGCCTCAGCTCCTCTTCCATAAAATTGGGAGAGTAAAAATACCCATTTTCAGAGAGTTATTGTGAGGATTCAGAGAACTAAAATTTGCAAAGTACTCAGAACTGTGCCTGGTGCATAGTAGACAGTGAATGAATATTTATAATTATTAAGAGTAGGATCCCTTGGGCCAGCCCGGTGGCACAGCAGTTAAGTTCGCATGTTCCACTTGGGTGGCCCGGAGTTCGCTGGTTCGGATCCCGGGTGCAGACCTTACACTGCTTGTCAAGCCATGCTGTGGCAGGTGCCCCACATATTAAGTAGAGGAAGATGGGCAGAGGTGTTTGCTCAGGGCCGGTCTTCCTCAGCAAAAAGAGGAGGATTGGCGGCAGATGTTACCTCAGGGCTAATCTTCCTCAAAATAAAAAAAAAAAGAGGAGGATCCCTTTACATCTTAACAAAAGGAAGGTACATCATTCTCCTTTTTTTCATGATGAAATTATGGCTTAAGAAGGCTAAGTAACTTGGCCAAAGTCCTTAGGTGGAGTAGGGTATATTTGACACCAAAACCCAAGCCCTTTACTCCATATATTGCTTCATGGAAGCCAACGATAAGCCTTAGACAACAGGCAATGGAAATCCACTAAAAGTTTCTAAATGGGGAATATGAATGATTAAAGGAAGTTTTACTTAGGAAGGCAACTGCCACCAGAAAGGAGAGTAACCTGGAATAGGGAAGTGGAATAAGATGAGCCGGACCCCCGGAGAGCAGAGAGAAGCCTGTGAAAGGGTGGAGGAGGCAGGGCCTGAACTGAGGATGGTGGTGCCGGAAATGGAAAGGACATCAAGAGTAAAAGGCACAGCACAGGAGGGATAGATGGTGAGGTGACCAGCGAGCAGAGCAAGTGACACAGCAACAGGGACGACTGAAAGGCCTCGAGCTCCCTGACTTGGAAGGCGGAGGCCACACGGTGAGAGTGTCCGAAGGCCGCCTGCCTCGTCTGCTCTGGGACGTGATGTGACCGTGCAGCTACATCAGTAACGGATCTTTCCAGTGCGCCCTGGGAGTCTGAACACGGAACCCGTGGCTGAAGCAAAGGCAAGGAAGGGAAATTCAGGGAAGCAGATTATTCACTGGGATATACAACAATTTACTACTTTGAAAGTTACAAGTTTAGGCGAAAAAATCCAGATTCCAGGATAATATTTTTCTTAAATAAAACTAAAGATGCGTTCACACGAAAGCAAAACAAAACTTCTAACACTGCCTACAAGAACTAAGTGTAAACCACATAAAAACCAACTTTCATCTTGAAATTTTTCTAGACCAACAAAACAGTACAAGGGCTCTCAGTCTCCAGAGCACAGGGCACCTGAGCTGCAGTGAGCAGGACACATCCATTAAATCGCTTGTTCACGCAGCACGCATGCGTTCAGGCTCCATGAAGCTGCAAGAACTTCGTCCTTAGAGGGACAGGCTCTTCCACTTGCTAAGAAAGGCTAGATTTTGTTTTTCCATTGTGGCATTCACAGTAAACGTCGACGGTTCAACTGCCAATTCACCTTCCTACACGGCCAAGCCCGAGTGTGGAGACATGACAGTCCCCTATGGCAACAGCAGACGTCTTGGAAGACGCCGGGCCCAAGGGAATGACAGAACCTGGGTGAAATACACGAAGGCTGATATTTCTGAAATTATTTACTTTTTGTTAGAATATATAAATCTTTCAATATTTTCAGGATTTATCAGAGATAACTAAGAAATTTTTTTAGCCTTTTAACAAGATGAGTTTTTTTAGAGTTTCAAGTTGCCGCTAACAGTTGTAAATACCAATGTGTCATTTGGGGATCAAATAACTTCAATTAACTTATGCAGTAATTTTCCCCCTCACTTAGCACATATCTTCTTCTACATCAAAGAAAAATTATCGTTTTTCACTTGAGATATTAGTCATGTTAAAGTAATGGATTAAAATGCTACTATCCAAAGTCTCGAAGGGAACAGATGTATTATTAGACAAACGCCAGCCACAAATCTACAGTGGGCAGGTATGTGCGTCTAACGTTCCAGCATGTGTAAGGAGAGTGTCCACCGCGCAGGCCATGCAGAGAGCCGGCCTGTCCAGCCCTCTCCTCAAACACCACCTACAGCTTTAGAAACCAGGCTGCCGAGCTACAGCACAGAAAGACAAACATACACCAAGAGATGTACGCGGGCCGACCAAACAGAGCTACCTAGACACAATTTCAGAAGCAAAACCCACGATGCTTTTACTAAACAAATGTAAGCTTCAAAATTTTTATAAAAACGGTTTAAAATCTACTTATACGCATGTATGCAAATCTTTTTATGCACCCACCTCCTGAATTCACAAGTCTTCAATTGTGCATCGTTCCCTGATTCTTTTCCTACTTAAGAATTCTGGACCAAAGACTGTATTTCAGGCCTGGAGCCCTGGGCAGGCCCAGCTCAAGCTCCTGGAGGCAAGGGAGGGGCTCCAGACACCTAGTTGTCTTCTCAAGCAAATACTTACTCTGCAGAATTATCCCCAGTAATTATCCAGTGTATCAGAGAGGGAATCCAGCATAAGTCACATCTGCAACTTTGCTAATTGAGGCGGTTGGGGCAATGGGGATCCAGACGGATACATTCCACCCAGAAAACTGCATCTGGTGACATTTCTAAGTAGGAGGAGATCTTCCATATGTGTACACTCTCATTCTATAAATATTTGCTGGAGCAGCATCACCAAATCAGACCCTAGCTATAGGTTTTCTTTTGTCAAGCTAACTAAACAAAGTACAAATCTAACACAGTTTCAAAACACAATACTCCCTGAATAACTTAAACATTTCTTCAGTTCTCTCTCATTTACACTCCATCCAAAGATACTCAGAAATAGCAAATAGACACAATAAATTATCTATGTCTTATGAATCATTTTCTAACGAATTCATTATTTTCTAAGGAACTAAGTGGGACATTTTCTGGTAATGATATTGGATAAAATAATTTCTCATCATACCATATCACTTACCTTAGAAAAGATCAAGACACCAAAAGAAATGTATGCCTCACGTTTACACATCACTCCCTTTACACAACAGAAAGGCACATCACCAAATAAATATAAAGTTGATTTAACAAGTTCAAAATGCCAGCCACTATATGTATATATTTTTAAAACAAGAATTACATATACATTAAAATATATATACGTGTATAGGTTTGTGAGTATATAAATAAATATATTTTTGAATGTAAAAAAAGGAGTCCGCGTTGAAGGGCTCGCCAGTTAGGTACTGGGCTGGGGGGCTGCCCTCGCCAGCCTCACCTGTCGAATGATGCTCTTCACGCAGCGCACGGGGAGGCCTTGGTAGTTGGACTTGATGATCCACTTGAGGAGATGGTGGCCCAGCACTTCGAAGACCATGCAGACATCTGGGACGAGGCTAAGGATCATTTGCGGCTGTTTCCTGGAGCGATGCAGCCACTAACAGCGGCATCACTGTGGCACATGGCAAAACATTTCTTTCTTTATAAAATGCAACATCAATCCTAACAATAATACCAAAAGTGGTCATTTGTGGTTTCTCACCTAAATAAAACAATCTAACATTCAGTAGGTACTCATTATGTGCCATATATCACTTAATGTGCACTCGTAACCACCTCAGGAAATCATGTTCTTATCCCCACACAGAGAGGAGGAGGGGAAACCTCAGAGTTCAGAGCTCCCTGCGCCACGCGGTCCAGGCCCACGCGCGCCCACGCTCATGCCCCTCAGCGCACTCCGCCCTGGGAACCAGTCTCAGTGAAAACCAGCGAGACTGAGACCTCCGAGAGACTGGGGAGGAAAACAGCGAAGAAGCCCCTGTCCTAAGCGTCCTGTCTGCCCACCTAAATCTCCAACCACACATCAGATAAAACACCTTCTGAAGCAGAGATTTACCAGACGCCGTGAAGACACTTAATCTTGCCTTTGGATAATATCTTTCACCTCGTAACTAGACAGTGTTAACACCACAGGCAGGTCTCAGGAATGTAGGATCACAAGATGAGACACGGCATTAAGACCAACCTATAGGAATGAAATCTCAGGAATATGGTGTTTGTTTAAAAGGAACAATCAGACATTCTAGTCAATCACCGACCCTCCAGGACTGCGACCCACCGCAGTCCATCACAAATATATTCACGTCATTCACACGGGAAGATTTTAAATGGCGCTGAAACGCCTCAAGAATATTCTGTTCATCCCGGAGGCCTCCAGATAGGTAGTTAAAGAAGGTCAGTGGATTTAATAGTTTTAAAAACCGGCATCTACCACATCACCATAACTAGTGCTTCAAAGATTTTTAACAAAAATGAGAAAAGTATTTCTACAATGTCGGAGAACAGATGCACTATAGATTTATGCATAGATCATCTAAAGCTGGAAGTTTCTTACTATTTTCCAGGCTCATTACAAAAAATGGCCAACTATGGACTAAAGTTAGTAAAGACAGAGCTGAAGCCCGAGATTTCTAAATTATGATCTGTCTTCTTGAAACAATGACAAATCTAGACTGTGGTGGTTTCTGAGCACTTTATTTAGCAGTAAAAAATAGCCACTAGAATGTATACACCAAAAAAACCTCCATTTACCTACATATTAGATGGTTTCTCCAAAGAAACCTTCTCCCTGTCAGCTGTCTCAGGAACTGCCCGGCAGATCTGATTCGAGAGGAGGGCCTGCCCGGCCTGCCCACGAGCCAGAGGCTCACGCAGACAGAAGGAGCGGCTCTACTCTCTATCCAGCACAAGCGACAAATGTGCTCAGCAGTCAGCAGAAACGACTGTAAGGCAAAGGGCAAGGTGACGTGAGCAGTCGTCGCTATGTGCTAGTAACCCTGAGCCCAATCTCTAGAATACAAAGACTTCCTCCAATCCACAGGGCATGAGGGGAGCGCTTCCCTGAGGGATCAAGCCTCAGCAGATGGAGAAACAGGACGTCACTCTGGGGGCGAAGCTGGGAGAAGGCTTTGTCCTCAGGCTTCTGGAGCTCGAGCGGGTCGAACATCAAAATGCCAGATCTGTTCCAAACATGACATACAGGAAAGAGCAAAACCTCAGGATGGAGGGAGGAGACCCCGGCTCCTGACATACCTCTGGCCCCCATCAGTCACAGGGTTCCGAGTAAGTGGGTCAATCTTCCTGAACCTTGGGAGATGAAGGCAGTGCCTGCGTCAGCCACCCGAACGGCTATCTCAGAGGATGGAGAGTGAAACCGTGGCACGGGTATCCTGGATACTCACGGCATTACCTCCTCTCCACGTGCGCTGAGCCTCGAGCTACGGTCTTGGGTGACCAGAATCCCCGCTCACCTCCTCCTGAGCCCCATACAAACCGACGAGAACGCAAACAACCCACCAGGAGCCCAGGCAAAACTGACATTTTCCAAAGGGAAAGGGAAGTCCTGAGGGGCCCTGGCTGTCTTCTCGCTAGACACACTTCTCTTCCAAGAGGACCCAGAATCAGGACGTGGGCTTCCCTATGCAAGAAGCAAAAGGAACAACTAACCTTATAGCTAACTAGGAAACTTTCACCTTTCAAGGCTCAGTTTCCATCAGGACAACTTCTTTTTGAGAAAGCAAATACTCTGTCTGACATTCTAATAAAAAAGAAAAAAAAAGTAAATTGAACAATTTGATCTTTAAACAACTAAAGTAAGTTGATACAGACTTAAGGGGAAGAGGCAAGACTTAGGAGAAAATAACCTTGATTGAAGAATGTGATTCACACGAGCGTTTAAAAAGTCATTTTTGCATTATCAAGTAAATTTGAATAAGGACTATGATGTGATATGTGATACCAAGAAGTTATTCTTATTTTATTTAATGAGTTTTACGATTTTCTTCAGTCCATATTTTTTCAAAGATGCACACTGACATTTGTAGAGCAAAAGAACATGACTTCTAGGACTCGTTTTGAAATGATTCAGCAAGAGAAGAGAAAAAGGATAAACGAAGCAACTGTGACCAGACCTCGATAATTACTGAACCTGGGTGACAGGTTTATAGAGATTCACTGCGCTGCGCTCTCTAATTTTATGTGTGTTGGAAAATTTACGTTATAAATGTTTCTAAGGGAAAACAAGGGAGGTCTCTTCCATCAAGCACTGCCTTATGTCAGATTTACCAAACAGTACAGAAAACGCATCTTTGTACTTTTATCAGGTTTTCCAAAGCAGACAAACTAGGAGCAAAATAAATGAAACCAAACACTTCCACGCCCCGCTGGTGGAAAGACGGCCCTCGGCAGGAGCCAGTGCAACCGCACAGGATGACGTCAGCAGGGCGCTTTTCCTCTTCCTGCCTCACCCGCACGGGATTCTGTGCAGCTCCTGGGGGATACCCAGCACCTGCGTACTGATGTCCGAAAGTTTAAAGCAAAGGGAAGTGCTGGCATACACTTCCATCCACCACCATAAAATAAACTCCACTAGAATTAATTAAAAAGAGTAGAAACTAATTCTACGCCAAAATCAAGTCAAGTTGTTGTAAAAATAATTTTACAAAATGCTACTCCACTATGGGGCTGGCCTGGTGGCCCAGTGGTTAAGTTCGTGTGCTCCGCTTCAGTGGCCCAGGGTTTACCAGAGTGGGTCCTGGGTGTGGATCTATGCACTGCTCTCAAGCTGTGCTGAGGCGGCATCCCACACAGAGGAACTAGAATGACCCACAACTAGGATATACAGCTATGTACTGGGGCTTCGGGGAGAAAATTTTTAAAAAGTGGGGGAAGATTGGCAACAGATGTTAGTTCAGAACCAACCTTCCTAACACTAAAAAAAAAAAAAGACACTACTACATCAAAAGCCCCAAAAGGTCCTCGCAGAGCACTCCAGACATACCATCTACTAACAGTGTGCGGTGACACTAGAGGCTGTACTGGAGTGACACAGCAGAAAACACAAGTTTACAAGCCTGAAAGATTTCCCTTTTCTTAAAAGTCAAAAGAAAAACTGCAATATAATCCAGCCATTAGGAAGCAACAGAAGTGTCAGAAGGATACGTATTCCGTTCATGCCTGAAATCTTGAAGTCATCGATCAGCTGAACTACCATGTCTTTATTTGGGTCACTGGGATCACTTTCTCGAACCTATGGGGAAAAAGTGAATTCAAGAACAGCAGCATAAGAATGAAAGTCATTTCCGTTATATTGTTTTAATAAAAGTGATGCTTTTAAAAATAAGATTCAGGGGCCGGCCCGGCGGTGTAGTGGTTAAGTTCACGCACTCCGCTTTGGCGGCCTGGGGTTCACCAGTTTGGATCCCGGGTGCGGACATGGCACCGCTTGTCAAACCATGCTGTGGCAGGCGTCCCACACATAAAGTAGAGAAAGATGGGCACGGATGTTAGCTCAGGGCCAGTCTTCCTCAGCAAAAAGAGGAGGATTGGCGGCAGATGTTAGCTCAGGGCTAATCTTTCTCAAAAACTAAGATTCAGTATTTGAACTTATAAAAAATAAATGCAATTTTAATTTAGTAAAACCCAGAAAAACCCCTCTGTGAAATTTTAAGTCATTAATTTTTCCTGTATCATTCACATTTTTACAGTACTTACACATTTGAGCAATTTTATTTCATCCAATGCTGTCTCTGTATAATGCTGGGCACTTTTTACAACTTTCATTGCAACAAATCTTTTCCCCCTTTAAAAAAAAAATGCATATTTTTAATATTATCAGAAGCAATCATTATAATGAGCTCTATCCAATAAATGGAAACTTTTAATAAGCTTTCCTTTAAAATAGTACTTTTCAAGTTGTGGAACCAAAATTAAGCAGTGGGCTCATGGATCAATACAATCTCTTTTTTGCTTTGCGTTTCCATCTTTTCCTAATAAAAATAAGATAGACTAGAAAAATGTCAGAGTTCATCACATATAGTAAGGTTTAGCTCTTGTAAGACTTTTGTTTCAGTCCACACACACACACACACACGCAGACCCCATGTATATGCGTACTGGGTAGCAATGCACTTCCATACTGTAGGTCATGGCTTTAAAAAAAAGAGCCAGAAACCACTACACTGAGAGGCCTATACATTATGATTTTATATTTGAATGTGTTTCTGGTATAGATGAGTTAGTAAGAAAAATAATATGACGCCAATGAAACGTAATTTCAATGAAGAAGCTTTAGATACAAAGGCAGAAGAAAGTTACTATTTTAAGATAACAGGCAAATAAACTTCAAAGAGAGGGGGAAAAGTCTGGCCGGGAGGAGCAGGCTGGTGTTGAGCACTCCCCACGCCACGACGGAGGCAGGTGTGCCCCTCAGCCACGCCCTGTCATCAAACCGAGCCGACAGAGCCGACAAGCACTTACTGCATATCCCAGCACAGCCAGACCGTGGAGAAGTGGCCCCATCCCAGCTTCCTGATCACATGGTACCGGCCGTTGAAGAGGTCTCCAATCTTCACCGGATGGTAGCCACCTTTTGTTTAAAAAAATAATAAATTAACTAAATTCCAGAAAAACAGTAATGGAATCGCATCTCTTCCTCTGTCAGTTCTTGATCATTAAAAGAAAGCTCTAAATCATAAAATGAGAATAAAACATGTTTAATAACATCTTTTCAAGAATATCTTTCATTAAGAGACAAATGTCCTGTGCCTTTCTATTAGGCTTTTTGTTGGTTTTAATTTCACGCGGAAAGGCAACGAACCATCCAGCACTCCATAACGATAATTCAGGGTTAAGACTAGGTGTACACAGCATGCACACACCAGCTCCTGACACTTCCAGACAAGCTGTGCATCTTCTAAGCGATGAGTTAAACACAATCTTTTTGAGTCACTACAACATAACTCACGAAAATAAAAGATGTGTACTCTGCCTAATTCTGCACACACAGGCAGTTTACAGATGACCAACACGGACGTGCATAACAGATGGCAGTTCTCCCTCCACCGGAGCTGGCTCCTCCCACCACTCTTCCTCCCACCTACGCTCCTCGCTCCTCGGGAGGGACAGGGGGCCCCGTGTTAAAGGAGACTCTGGGGGAGGAAGGGGCTTCCCGGCATGAAAAAGGCCTTCCCTTTGCTCTGTAAGTGCACTAAGTGGGCTCCGAGGTAGCCTGGATAATACAATGCCACTTTTGTGAAACACACGAGAAAAAGTCTAGGAGGATAAAACGCTAGCAACAAACATCTCTGGATATAAAATTACTCTCTTTATCTATATTTTATTCTTTTTATCTACCTTTTTCAATTTTTTTCAAAAACTAACATAGTACTTTTCTACTTTTTATTCTTTTAACATCTACTGCTTTTTTATTGCAAAGATGTTCTCTCTCATGTTTTAAATCTGCAGAATTCTTACAAATCACTCAAGACACACATGGATGGTTCATGCCTAGCGTCAAGGGGCTCAGAGCAGGTGCAGCAAGTGTCTAAAACGCACCCTCCAATACATCTGTGTAACTCTCAGAGGCCTAGAGCAACACTTGGAGAAATATCACGAATGTTTATGAATATTTAAATTGTGCTGAATTAGAGAAGCAGAAATTTTACCAGAAGCTCAAAGATTCTTACTCTCATACCACTACACTTGCTTTTCCCAGATTTTAATATCAAACCCTATGACAACATTTTGGGTAAAAGACATGAACTAAAAGAAATTAAATCAGGAAGAAAATATAGCAAATTATTAAATGGATGGATGGGTGTTAACTAAACTTACTGGGGCAATCATTTCGCAATACACACAGTGTGTCAAGTCACTGTGCTGTACGCAAATTTACATGGTGTTGTATGTCCATTATGTCTCAAAAAAATTAGAAGAAAAAAATGTTAATTTCCAACACAGTTTTAAACCATTAAAATTAATACCGAAAAGGAGGAAAAGGAAAATATCATTTTTCAAGTACAAATTAGGGGCACTGTGCTAGGCACTTTATTTTCAAAATCATGTTCCATAGATGAAGGTAACTAAAAGGCTGCAGGGATCCCACGGGGTGGGGGGCGGGGTGCAGCGGGGGTGGAGGAGGACGGGAGGAGCAGCTGTCTGGGAAAGGGGAAGTTCAACGAAGCAAAGTAGGTTTCTTGACCAACGGGGTTCCCAGAGCCCAGAGTCTTCACACATGGTGGGAACCCGCAAGAGCAAAAGGGCAGGCTGCGACTCCACACGTCTGCTCACGGAAGCACCTCTTCAAGGACCCAGCCACATCTCACAGCACGAAGCAGCTAGGAAACACCGATGCCTATGTCATTTCTCACAGCCACGCCGCAGAGCGGACGGTGTTATCTCTACACCGCTGAAGTGGGCACAAGCCTCAGAGATGTGGGTAGCAGCTTCAGGGCTGGAAACGGGGTCTGACCTGCAAGTCCTCGCTCTGTCCACCGTGAGGACTGCGCTCCATTTCAACACCCGAAGGACTGCTCCCTGGTCTCAGCACACAGGGAACACTCGACAGCTTAATTAAAAGCTATTCACTACTTAATTGCATCTTACTGCCAACATTAAAGTCTCTAAATTTAAAAATAATTTAATTATGCATAAAGAGAAGAAACTCGTATCCCTATTGTGTTTCAAATTTGAATTCTCAAATAGCCAGAGCGTGTACATGACAGAAAAATAGAAGGACTATTTTTGGTGTAATCTCAGCATAAGCGCAGCCGTTCCTTTTCTCAATGGAACTCTGAAAGTTGAACAAGAAATTACTAGTTTAGTCCAGTTATCTCAGGAGCCCACAGGCTAGCTGAGAATTTTGCCCCTAAAAAAAAGGCCAACTAAGCAAAAGAGACGTAAAAGCAATTTTTAAATACAAATATAAAAACAATTGAAAGCTCTAAGCACTTATCCTAACTTTTATTCTGAAAAGTTGACGAACACATTTTTGACTCCATATTCTATACATTCTCATATCTGTCTCATATCCTAACTGCCAGATTTCTACAGAAAATGATGCTTTTCCGACCACTGTTCAACCTCATCTCACAAAATGGTAACTAATGTTCATGCTGCCCAAAGGGTGGCGCCACGTCCCATCGCAGACCACACCCACTTCCCCGACACTCAGGGAGTCAGAGAAGATGGACACTCCAGTGACTCTGCGGGAAACTCCCCAACGCCCTGAGGTTGACCAACAGGGTGGGCCACCGTGGCCATGAGCAGTGGACGCCTCCATTGGCCTATAACACCGTGTGGCACACAGGAATCCTGAGAACAGCCACAGAGCAGGACCCTCCCCTGCTGCCGCCTTACCAACAGACGGTACAGGAAGACAGACAACAGCGCTGCCTGGGGACCCCGCGCACGGCATTGGGCAGAAAGGGTCGAGCCCTGAGGACTACCACCACTTAGGGGTTTGTTATACATTTGTACTTCACAATTTGTACGGTTTAATATAAAAACCACGCATTTAACATTTAGAAGTTTTCCTTTTCTTCTTAAGAGATAAATCTTCGATTGGATACAAACACAAGAGAACAAGAGTGGACTGTTAAGTGTCATGAAGTTCCCTGCCCTGGTTTCTCCTCTGACTCCACCCCTCCAGCACACCAGGAGAACGAGAACTAAAGCTCTACCTGTACTGTGAATAAGGCTCCAAAGACGGCAGTCCTACAACTGTCTTCTCACTTGTTTAGGGGCAGCTGTGGGCTGAAGATAAAGACAACTCCCTTTGCCTTGCCAAGCAAAAAATAGGTTCAATTTCTAAGAGTTAATCCAAAGTTCAGAACTCTGTCACAGACAATAGTCTAGAAGGATTATCAGCAAAGTCTCTATTTTCTACTAAAGAGAATATTAAGTATTCATTTTTTCTCAGCCCTCTGATGGTGAGGTTTATCTCCACAACCAATGGAGGCTTTCAAAGCTCTAAGGAAGGATTTGAGAATCACCTCCCACACACAGTCTTAAAAAAGGAAGGGGTGGTAAAAAGAAATTCGCTCACAGAAGGATAGCACAGACACATTTTGGGTTACTCAACATTTCAATATTCCCATCCTGAAAAATTAATAGAACCAGTAGACAGAAATCAGTAAGGATATGGAAGATCTGAATACACCATCAACCAACTGGACATAATGGACATTTATAGAACGCTCTACTCAACAGAAAATACTCTTTGCAAGTACACGGAACATTCATCAACACAGACCACATACTGGGCCATAAAACAAGTCTCAACAGAAACTAAAAGATCCAGTCACATAAAGCACATTCTCAGACTACAACGGAATTAAATTAGAAACCAAAAAGAGAAAATACCCCCAAATTGAGAAACCAAGATACTTCAAAATAACCCACGGGATAAAGAAGAAATCAAACGGAAACTATAAAGTATTTTACACTAAATGAAAATGAAAACAAAACATATCAGGGTCTGCGAAATGCTGCTAAAGCAGAACCTAGAGGAAAATTCAGAGCACTAAATGCCTATGAGAAAAGAAGATCTCAAGTCAATGACCTCAGTTTCCACCTTAAGAAACTAGAAAAAGATAAGTAAATGTAACTCAGAGTAAGCACAAGAAAGAAAATAACATAGATATGAGCTGTAATCAGTGAAATGAAAAGCATAAAAACAGACAAAACCAGTCAAACCAGAAGCTGGTTCTTTGAGAAAATAAAAATAATTAATAAACTTTGGCCAGGCTGACCAGGGAAAAAAAAGAAAGAAAACATAAATTACCCAGACAAGGAATGAGTTAGGTGACATCACTACATATTTTACAAATAGTAATAGGATAATAAGAGAATATTACAATTTTATACCTATAAATATGAAAACAAGATGAAATGGACAAATACCATGAAAGACACAAAATACCCAAGTCCCAATCAAGAAGAAATACATACCTAAATAACTCTATATTTACTTTACAAAATAAATTTGCAATTAAAAACCTTCCCATAAAAAATGAATTGGTGAATCTCCCAAACATTTATGGGAAAAATACTAACAATTCTACACACTCTTCCTGAAAAGTGAAAAGGAGGAAATACTCCCAGTCTCATTCTACGAAGCCAGCACTACTTGATTCCAAAGCCTCATAAAGACATAAGAAAGCTACAGACCAGTTTTCCTCATGCTGTAGATACAAAAACTCTAGACAAAACTTCATCAAGTCTTATTAAACAACAAATAAAAAGAATAATACTTAATGACCAGGTCGGGTCTACTCCAGGGATGAAAATTTGCTTTAATATTCAAAAATCAATGCATTTAATTCACCATAATTAATACAGTAAAGAAGAAAAACCATATGATCAGCTCAAGAAACACAGAAAAAACCTTTCACGCTATCCAACATGCACTGCTGACCAAAATCCTCAACAGAGCAGGAACAGAAGAACATCAATGAAAAACCTACAGATAACATCCCACTTAAAGGTGAAAGACTGAAGGCCTTCCCCCTGTGAACAGGAACAAGACAAGGACGTCTGCTGTCACCACTTCTATTCAACTGGAAAGGAAGGAGTAAAACTATCTTT